ACTTTAGCAGGGGTGGCCAGAGGAGCATGCAGGGTGTCTGGTGCTGGCTGCCTGGCGTGCTGACGGCTTGCTGTGTGCCCACAGGTGACTGTCCTGCCCTCAGACAGCAGAGTGATCCTGCTGGAGAACATGACCCGCTTCTGGCCCGTCATCCAGATCCGGGTGAAGCGGTGCCAGCAGGTAGGGGAGCAGGGTCCGGGCCAGGGGACTGGCAGTGTGGGGCATCAGGGCTGTGCCTGAGGAGCTGAGGGTTGCGCTCTCCTGTAGGGTGGCATTGACACACGTGTGCGCGGCATCGAGGTGCTGGGTCCCAAGCCCACTTTCTGGCCCATCTTCAAGGAGCAGCTGTGCCGGCGGACATTCCTCTCCTGCACTGCTCGGGCTCGTGCCTGGTGCCAGGAGATCTGCCGCGACCGGGGGCGACTGCTGCAGCTCTTTGGCAGGTGAGTTGTCTCCTGGTTGTGCTGTCGCGTCCCCAGCATCCCAGGGCCTGGGAGGACGGTGCTGACAGCCCACGAGGGGACTGCAGAGCCAGGAGAGGAGAAACTGGGTGTCGTGCATGGACAGGGAGGGGGCCTCACTCGTCCCTGGCCACTGGTGGTCCCGGAGGTCTAGGGCCACCTTGTGTTCCCCCGGGTTTAAGCTGGGCACGTGGGCACAGCTAACCCACCAGAGACGTGCATCGCAGGGGCTGGCATGTCCTGACGTTTTGGAGGCCGGTCAGGTGCAGGTGGGATCTCGTGGCCGCAGGCCCCGCAGAGCCGCCCAGATTGGTGGGGGCCATGAGGGCACCAGGGCCCAGTGCAGGCAGGGCCTGGGGGCAGTGAGGGGCCCTGGCTGCTGGAGGCGAGTGGGGCTGCTGAGCTGTTGTGCCTGACAAGGGACAGGGAGAGGCCATCGTGCTCTGCTTTCCTTGAGGAGTCCTCCCGGCTGCTGACAGGTGCCCAGTAGTGCCTTGTGCTGCCCGGTCACTGTTGCAGGTTGAACCGGGCACTGCGGCACGAGCAGGGCTTCGCCGACCGGTTCCTTCCTGACGACGAGGTGGCCCAAGCCTTGGGCAGGACGTGCTGGGAGGCCCTGGTGAACCCCTTGGTGCAGAGCATCACCAGCCCAGGTACCCTGCGCTCTGCCGGGCCCGTCTGCACTGTGCCCCAGGCTGAGGCACCCTGCTCTGAGTCTGGTTGGTCTTGCAGACCCCCACGGCATCAGCCCCCTGGCCTGGCTGCTGAGCAAGTACCTGGAGAGCGCAGAGCCACCCTGCCATTCCATGAGCCGCGGTGCCGTCTTTGGTTCCCGTGTGCGGCGCCTGACCCAGCTCCTAGTGCACGTGGACCCCCGTGGCCTACGTGGCCCCGGGTGGCCCAGAGCCAGAGGAGGCAAGAGCAGCTGGTGAGTGAGGGGCTGCCGTCCCGTGAGGCTGGGAGGGCCGTGGTGCGGAGTGCCAGGCTGTGTCTGTGGGGGTCCTCACACTGGGGAGCTCTGGGGAGGGCCCTGTGACACGGGAGGCTCCCAAGCCGGGGAAGGCTTCGTGGCACGCCCC